GCCCCTGCCCCTCCTGCCTCTAGCCCCCCAATGCCTTACCCTCTCCTCCCCCAGCACCACCCTGTCTCCCCCTCCCACTGACACCTTCCCTCCTGCCCTTTTCCTCATTGTCTCAATTTGGCCCCCTGGCATTTGTCTCTCCTCCCCTTTCTTCTCCTGACCTGCCCCCCTCCCCTCAGCACAAGTCCCGGCCCAGGTGCCCTGCCCCCATCCCCTCAGCACAAGTCCCGGCCCAGGCTCCAGGCCACGTGCCGAACCGAGAGGTGCAACGCTGGGCCTCGCAGTTTTAAACTCCCGGGCTGTGATGTCACGCCGTGCATGTGCTCCCTCGGCCCCATGTGGCCCGTACTAGCTGGCGCTGGGGAATTCCAAGTGCAGGTCTGCGGCGCCCCGTCACAATCCCTCCCCCTACCCCCTCCTCCAGCAGCCGCCAGACGGCCCTTCGGAGGACGGCCCACCGGGAAATTCCCGGTATCCCACTGGGCCAGTCAGCCCCTGGCGCGGGGCCTATTGAAGCGCAGGGCCTGGGGCAGCCACCCCGTTCGCCCTGCCCAATATCCACTGCTGCCCAGCCCCAGGAATTAACCCTACTGTGGCTCTGCCTTTTAAATGTATTAAGAGCCAGCTAGCTCTTAATATACAGGTAGCCCCCGAGTTACGCGGATCCGACTTATGTCAGATCCGCAGTTACGAACGGGGATTTTCTCGCTCCGGAGGACTCGAGCGGTGGGATGCCTGGTCCCGCCGCCCGCCTCCTCCGGGGCGAGGAAAGCTCTTTCAGAAAAAGGCATGTGTGGAAGGGGAAGAGGGAGTTCTTTCGGAAGACGAGGAAAGAGGAAAAAGTACAGATGCTCTGGTGGCCACTCAGTCCATAGTAATCAGTTTAAATGTGAGATAGCATTCATTCAGATTGCTTTTTCGATGTGGACACTCTCTTTCGGAAGAAGTTTTTTCGGAAGATCTCTTCCGGAAAAGCTTCTTCCAAAAGAAGCCTGCAGTCTAGACATAGTCTTGCAGTGCCTGAAGAATGGGGACAGAAATGTAAAAA